TTAAAGGTAAGAGAAAGAGAACGGGCGTTCTCAATCTCAGCAAGTTGCAAGAAAGAGAAGCGTTAGAGAAAGAGAACGGGCGCCGTCTCAAAGAGAAACGTTAGAGAAAGAGAACGGGCGTTCTCAGTCTTACTAGTAAAGCAAGAAAGAGAAACAAAGAGAAAGAGAACGGGCGTTCTCAGTCTCAACTAGCTAGAGAAAGGTGGCAGGACAACTGAGGGCTCAGTTGACGCAAGTTTCGAGCGCTCAACCCACAAAGACTCAAGGAGAGCCAATGCAGCTTGCAAAGTGTTGAACACAGCAAACACAGCACCAAGCACACCTACCTCTCTCTTAAGTAGACACCTTTTACCCTCTCTGAAAGCTATTCACAGCCAGAGTGAATCATATCGAATTCCTGCACTTCTGACGCTAAAAAAACCAATTTCGAAACAGAGATGGAGCAGCAAGGCCACAGACCCAAAACAAATTTGCCCTATAGGCCAAAAAAAGTGTTCGCAGTAAGAATCGTCCAGAAATGCCTTCCTGGAGCTTCGGGGTTCTTCGGGCTTCGCCCTTCGTTTTCATTCCGAAGCTCCTAGACAAGTCATTTTTCTGACCTTTTAGGGCAAATTTGTTTTGAGTCTACTTTTTTTGGCCTATAGGGCAAATTTGTTTTGGGTCTGTGGCCTTGCTGCTCCATCTCTATTTCGAAATTGGTTTTTTTAGCGTCAGAAGTGCAGGAATTCGATATGATTCACTCTGGCTGTAAATAGCTTTCAGAGAGGGTAAAAGGTGTCTACTTAAGAGAGTCTGGCCGTGCCGACCTGTTATGTTTTTTCACATCGAAAGTAAAAATGACAGAAATGACAAGATAATGACAAGCCCCCGCCCCGAAACGCAGCCAGAATGACAGAAATAACAGAAATGACAGAAATGACAAATGACATTTCTCAGAAAAAGGAAACGCAAGGTGCTCTGCTGCACATCAAAAGTGAGTTGAACTGACAGAACAGAAACATGTTCGAGCTGACATTGGATAGGCAGGAAAGCATGCGCGATATTTTTTAAAAAAGAAATTGAAGTTGTCATTTTGTTATTTCCGTCATTTCCGTCATTTCTGTCACTGAGAGCTTGCATTGGACACCGCCTCTAAAATGATAGAAATGACGACATTTCTCAGAAAAACAAAATCCACGCATGCTCTGCTGCACAACAGCCCCTTGGTAGGTCTCAGCCCTCAAAGGCCCTTCACTGCCCTCAGCCCTTAACGGCCCGTCACTGCCCAGAGACCTCTTAGAAATCCTTGATGCCCAGGGACCTTAGAGGCCCCGCACTCCTCAGCCTAGAGGCCCTTCAATGCCTAGGCCCTTCACTTCCGGCCTTCGCTACCCTTAAGACGCCCTTAAAGGCCCTCAGCCAGCCGTCACTGCCCAGAGACCTCTTAGAAATCCTTGATGCCCGGGGACCCAAGAGGCCTCAAAATTTTGGAGGTTTGATGCAACTGTCAAGTGTTTTGCGCCTCACAAAGGCTGTGGGTCTTCTACAGTGCAAAATTTGACACAGTTGACAAAATGGACACACTTGATGCTCTGGCAGTGAAGGCCTCTAAGGACTTGGCGCGGACTCGGCGCGACTTGGCTCGGCGCGACTTGGCTCGGCGAGGTCCTCTGGCGCGAGTTTGTCAGTTCTGTCATTTCCGTCACAACCGTCATTTCCGTCATTTCCGTCACCCCGGTTGGCCCTGTCACTCCCGTCATTTCCGTCATTTTCGTCACTTTCCAAGTTTTGGGGTTCGCCAGGCTGTCAGGAGCACGGGGCCTACCAGGGACTAGCAAGGGGCAGTGAAGGGCCTTGAAGGGCCTAGCTGAGGGCAGTGAAGGGCCTTTAAGGAACTCTGAGCTGAGCAGTGAAGGGCAGTGAGGGGCCTCTAATGCAGTTGAGGGGCTTTAAGGTTTTTCGGACCCCTAGTGGAAGGATGGAAGGCAGTGAGGGGCGTAAGGGTCCCTGCTGGAAGGTTTGGGGGCAGTGAGGGATCCTCTAAGGGTCCGCCGCCGCCAGGACAGCCGTCAATTCTGTCAACTCCGTCAATTCTGTCAATTCCGCGTTGTGGCATTTCTGCGGAATCCCGCAAATGACATGCCTTCAGTTTTTGCAAGTTTTGCCGTCCGTCAACTCCGCAAGGTCTGTCAAATCTGTCAATTCTGTCAATCTGTCACATCGCTGGCTGTGAGTCTTCCAACAGACAACAGTTGACAAAATTGACAAAATTGGCGCATCAAAAATTTCTTGAGGCATTGCGGCGCATTCTTCTCTCTTGGCCAAAAGCTGTGCCGCTGCGCCAGCCGTGCCGCTGTGCCAGCCGTGCCGCTTGTGCAAGGGCATGCGCCGGATTTTCCCACAGAAAAAAATAGCCTTGTCATTTTTGTCATTTCTGTCATTTCTATCATTCTTGTCATTTTGTCATTTTGTTTGGAATCACATTTGATTGTCAAGAGGGTGTGGTCTGCAAGGGCACGCGCCGGAATTTTCCCACAAAATCGTCCTGTCATGTCTGTCATTCTTGTCATTCTGTCATTCTGTTTGGAATCATATTTGATTGTCAAGAGAGCGTGGTCTGCAAGGGCATGCGCCGGAATTTTCCCACAGAAAAAAATCAGCCCAGCGAGAAGTGCTGTTGGGCCCCCACCTCCAGCCCAGAAAGTGTTCCGCTGCCATCCTACCCCCGTGAAGCTCCTGCCACCGCTAGCCCTCCAGCAGCCCCCACGCTAGCCGCCACAGGTAGCACTGCCTCGCTGCTGCAGCTGCAGAGCCGATGGTGGCCAAGGTGCCTCCTCCCTCCACGGCTGCCGCAACTTCAGCGCCCGAAGCAGCTGCTTCAGCAGCACTGGCGAAGCCCTCGGCTTCCGCCTCGGCCCTTGCGTGAAGGCTTCAATGTCCTGCGCGCGCACTGGCGTTCGATTTCTGCAGCCCTTTGACCTGCCCGCTGCAGCAGGGGCTCCACCTCACTGGGCCTGCCAACGATTTGGGGCAGCGCCGCCTCGTCTGGTGGTGGGGCTGGGCCTTCTGGAGTTCTGGGAATGCGAAGGGTTTTGTCGAGCCACCGGCGACCCTGGTGCATGTGGCGGTACAAGTCCCCTGAATGCGCTGCTATGGCAGAAGCCGAGCCCACCGCACCTGCTGCTGCACCTGCAATCGCTTCGGCCCTTTGCAGGCCGCCAAGCATTCTGTCCGACAGGCTCGGACGTGTCTGGGGGTGTTAGACCATCGTTCCTTAAAGCTTGTCCAGCGCCAACCCCCCCTCCTAAACCCTCTTCAGCAACCCCCCTCGCACCCTGGAGTCAGCCTGGCAGGAGAGGGGAGGCTTCGACGTCAAACCCGTCAATCCCGTCAATTCTGTCAAGCCTCCTCCCCCCCCCCCTCTCAAAAGAAAACAAAGCATAATTTGACAAAATTGACCGTTCTGACGTCAAATCACTCGGAACTCTGGGCCCAGTACTCAGGCACCCGACTCGAGACAGGCCCTCAGTGGCGAGAAAACGTGGAGTCTCTTGCATGCATGAGCCTTGGCAGGACAGACAAACCCATTTTGCCACGGTTTGAAGGGGCGTGGCAAAAATAGACTAGACTTGAGTGTGTTCTGAGATGCGGCATGTGGAGTGCTGTGGCGCACTCCAGAGTCATGGTGCACAAAAGGGAGACGACCCTTGCCGCACTCACAGAAGAACCCCCATACCCCCTAAACCCTGTGCCCCAAACTAGAACACCCTTGCAGCACTGTGGAGCCCCGGGCAGTCGCAGAAGAAGTCGCTTCCCACGCTGGACTTGGGAGGAGGGTGGGGGCTTAGGGCTAGGGGAGGGGGCTACCACGGCAAGGGTTGCGCAACTGCGTGGTCGCCCGCTCTTCTCTCTCTCTGACATGCACTTGCAGACGAACCCCATGCCCTCCTAGACCCGAAGCCCTAAACCCTATACAACCCCCCTTGCAGCACCGACTGAAGCCCGGGGCAGTCGATGAAGAAGTCGATCACCGCGACGCACCTGAGGAGGGGAGGTTATAAGACGACCTACAGAGGGGAGGGGACTACCGGGGCAAGGGCTTCAAGAGCAGGACAGCGGAGTGCCTGCTGTGCCTATGTCCCTTGGAGAAGGGCGCGGCGCGGGCCGCAAAAATCATGAAAACCAAGCAAACCGTGCAAAAGCAGACAAGTCATGCATAAATCAAGCAAGCCATGAAAAACAAAACGCGCACCGCGTCAAAAACTTCGAAAACGTCGAAAACGTCAAAAATGTCAAAAGTTGTATTTTAGAAGGCCTAGAGCCAGCAACACGACCGACTTGACGGAATTGATGGAATTGACGGGGTCGACGGGCCAATTGGGGGTGACATATTTGACGGAGTTGACGGAATTGACGGGGGTAGTGCCCTCTGCGCTGTTTCGCTTCACAAATAACAGAGTGACGAAAATGACAGACATGACAGAAATGACGAAAATGACGGAATTTGACGTGCAAATGGGCATGCAAAATGACAAAATGACGGAAATGACGGAAATGACGGAAATAACGGAAATGACAGAAATGACGGCTGTCGTTTTATGGCCAACGAAAAGACGACAAGCAGAGCGACGAGCACGATGAGCAAGATAGCTGGACGTTTGACGTGCAGCAAACCATGGGTAAGCACGGACTCATCCAGAGGGAGGGTTTCTAGCAAACCGTGGCACGGAGGCGGCGAGCATTGATGAACAAGAGGGTGCGGACTGGCGGATTGGCGTGCAACTCAGGACCTGGGCAAAAAGCCGGCGTTCGACAAGTCCAGCCTTCCGGCCTTGGGCACGAAGGGCTGCGAGGGATGCACGAGATCGCAATCGACGGGCCTTGGCAGAGAATCGAGAGACCATTGCTGGACATCACAAGACCACTTGACGTGAGGCTCAACATGCTTGTAACGCATTTTCTCTTCAAGGAGGACGCTCCATGCTGGCAGGCCTTATGCAGTCACCTCCTTTGGCGCCTGCTCAGGCGCTTCCGCCAGGGGCCTTCTCTGCCTCATCCACCGGCCCCACCATCTGCAGACTAGGAGTTTGCTGAGTTGCCTGTTGCTCCAAGAGTTTCTTCTGAGCCCTCTCGCGCCGCATCGCTGAAAGGCACCCATAAATCAGGGCAACACAAATCCCACCCCCCATGGCAGCAATGCTGGAGAGGAGAAGCTGCTGCGCCAAGGAACTTCGACCCCAGTGCGCATCGTTGGATAACATGCAGCTGGTACAGCAAGTCATCATGCAGGCAGCCGCCAACAAAGCAATCTCAAGACGATTCCACAGCTTGGACTGGTAGGGGTGGATCAAGCCATAGAGGAACAGAGCCGACAATAGCACAATGCTCAAGAATAGCATTTGCAACGAAGGGGAGTACGTGACAGGAAAAGCAGCCGAGATCATCTTCAGTGAGGTCTTGCGGATCAGCCGCTCACCTTCCCATAAGCTAAGCCTCTTCTTGTAGGGCCGTGTGAAAAAGATGACATGCTTAGGCGGTATCTCATCTGTAGTTTTCGGCCTGTGGTAGATCAAGGACATCCACAGGCTTGACACCCCTATGACCATGACAATGATGGCCAAAAACACAAGCAACAGCATGCGAGAACCAGAACCATCTGGCAAGTACGGGCATCGAAGGCCATAAACACTGTGCGTTCCCTCCGCCTCGACACGATAGCAAACTCCATACTTGCTCCAGGCAGCCATGACATCCGGGAAGAAACAATTGATCCCAACGAGCAGTGCAACCTTATGACTTCGCAGCACCGCACAAGCTGCAATGAGAAGGGCTGGAAAAGCGCCACTCAGCAGCTGTACCCGCCACAAATCTGGTCTCCAACCCAAAGCAGCGATCGTGCACTCCGTCGAGTGGCTGACACCACCACTGGAGCTAGCAGTAACATCTGCAACGTTCTCCGCGAAGCTTACAAGCAAGGACTCAAAGACACTGGTGGCTGTAGCAGTTTGCATAGCTGCTGCAAGAACTGTAGCCGTCACAGTGCCAAATGACATGAGCTGATTCATCAAAACACTGCTGAGCTTCACCTCATCCGTGGCACTCAGGACATCCTTCGCCTGAGGGAATGCAAAGGTTGAAAACCTTCAGACTTTGTATCAATGTGTGCAACTAGATATTTTAACGTCTGAAGGCACAGTTCTTGCAAGTGCCGCGCCTGCAACCCGAAGATTACAGTACTCTTAACAGCCAGCATCAGCCAATGCTTTGCTTTCTGCAAAGATGAATCGCACTTGGCGCACACCAGCACACTACCATCGGAGCGCCTTGGATTCCAAGAGCATCAACCCAAGACCCATACCACCCATGCAACTTGGATGAACTTGGATGCAACCTTCCATATCTGTCCTTTCATCATCTAAGGCACGCATAGCCATCTGCGCAGTCAGCGCAGCCTGGGCCTGCTTTGCAATTTGCAAACCATTCTGAGCCACAACAACAACCAAACATGCGACATCGTGCGATGTATGTGACAGCTAAACTTGCAAACGGCACAAAAGAAGGCTGTGGCTACTACTACTGCTGCTACTGCTACTACTCATCCTGTTAGGAATGAGCATTTTCATGCAAAAGCCTTTCAAGACGCCAGGCCTTGATGCCCAGGCAAGCACAAAGGCTCCGAAACATCACCCCCTGTGCAGGCAGAAGGGTTCGGACAGTGCAGGGAATGGCTCACATTCGACAGGTTGACCATGAATCCATTGCGCATGATCAGCTGGTTCACGATGCACTTCTCAGCCTCCTTGGGGCAACTCATGCAAGGTCCCCGGCCGGAAATATCCAGCTGAACTGTGTCTCCAGGACATCTCCTACACTCCAGGGACTTGTCCGTGACAAAGCGGCCACTTCGTGCGGAGCACTGTACTCCTGCCACCTTCAAAGCCGTCTGGCTCTGGCTTTTTAGGCTGCATTCCGACATCCTACGACAATCCAAAAACTCTTTCAAATCCAGACTTTTGGCGTCCACGCTGAAAATCCCAGCTTCAGTGCTGTCCTGCAACTGGAACCTTTGAACAGACATGTCACCGTCAACCTGCAAGGTGTGGCCACCAATAAAGTGAGCTTCCCCAAGCTCGAGGCTGGAATGCGAATGCAATGCTCCACTGCGAGAACTTTCGTCAGCAAAGCAGGTCTCGAATTGTACTGGAGACCGAATCACGGAATGTTGGGCCAGAAAGATTCCCCCCCCACCCCTGCCGGCTTTACATGTCTTGAAGCTAATGCGCTTCGCTCCGGCAATGTTCAAATTGCCAACGGAAACACAACCTCCCCGACTGCCAGCACTGCAGTCTTCGAAGCTCATAATAGTATCACGGGCTGTCCACTTGCCGTCGACACGCAAGCCTCCGCCAGCAGCACCTTCCGACTGCGCATTGCAGCTTAAAAAGCTTAACTTTCCACCGGCCATATCTGCATTTTGGATGATGGCACAACCTCCACCTTTGCTGGCCTTGCACTGTGTCAGTGAAAAGTCAGCATCTTTCGTGATCAATTTACTGCGAATCTGCAAGCCACCTCCAGAACCTTGCATGGCTCTGCATTGCTCTAGCTTGACTTTGCTCCTCCAACCAGTAACCTGCGCAAAGCCCATGGCAGCGCAGCCACCGTTGCCAGTGACGGCACAGTCCTTGATGGTCACCAAGCTGTCCTCACTTGTCCACCTCCCACGCAGAAGCAGGCCTCCGCCATCTCCCTCTTCAACCCGGCATCTTCCCAAAGTAACTTCCCCCTGGGAGGCCTGGAAGTGCTTCACGTCAATGCAGCCTCCTCCTTTTCCCGCAGAGCCATCGGTGACTGACAGGAGGCCGTTCTTCATGACAAGCGAATCTTCCACACGGAGCCCTCCGCCATGACCTGACACTGCGGAGCACTGATCGAACTTCAACGAAGAATCTGTGAGCTCCGCTTCCTTCGAGAAAAAACAACCGCCACTGACACCCGACCTGCAATCCTGGAAGGTGGCAGAGGTTTTTCTGCTGTTCCAAGAGCCCTGCAACATCAATCCTCCACCATTTCCATGTCCCGCGTGGCAAATGCTGAATGTCATCTGGCCCCCACTGAAATCTGCATCCTTCGACCAAGCGCAACCTCCTCCCTCCTGCGCAGTTCCCTCGGAAACCGACATGGTCAAATCCCGGCCGATCATCAAGCCCCTAACATGCAGGCCTCCTCCAAATCCACGCTTCGAAGTGCATGCGGTGAAGTTGAAGATGCTCCCGGGACCCGCAACATCCACAGTTCCCACGGAGGCACATCCTCCACTGCTGCGGGCTGTGCAGTCTCGAGCTTGGAATACAGCGTTGCTCGACTGCCACCTGCCATCAAGGTAGAGGCCTCCGCCGAACTCCCTTGAATCACAGTCTGAGATGCTGACATGGGCATGTCCAGCGAGTCTCAGTTCGCCAAGAGCCGCTCCGCCCCCGCTGCGCGACGCTGAACAGTTGGCAACAAGGAGCTCGGCATTTTCATCGGCAAGGAGCGTCCCATTGACAAGCAAACCGCCCCCGCCACCAAACGTTGCGTGGCAGCGCTCTACCCGGAGAAACCCTCCGTGAACGCTTAAGTTTCCCTTCACTACATCAAGGGCGATGCCCCCACCACCTTGCTTCGCAGAGCTGTCACGGATGCTTACTTTTGCATTCTTGAGCGTCAAACCGCGAAGTCTAAAGCCGCCTCCTTGCTTTTTGGCGTGAACGTTGTCCACGACCATGGTGAGGCCACTCAAAAGCAAACCTCCTCCATTCAAACCTGCCCCAAAGTCTGCTGAAGAGTCCTTAATGATGACTTGACCAGTTCCGCCTCCCTGCCAAGTTGTCTGGCTGTCACCCCGCATCGATACACCTCCTCCGCCGCACTCCTCAAGTTCTAGCTTCCCTGATGTTTGAATATCGGGATCCTTGGAAGTGAAAGCCATGCAGCCACCAGGACCCGCACGGGCGTGCGCAGTGCACCTGACCATACTAATTGTGCCGGCAGTTTGCTTGAGACCACGAAGCACACGCAGGCAACCGCCATCATAAAGGGCCTCGCAGCGCGAAAGTTGAAGATGCCCACCCGCTTGTTTAATTTCCCCAACTTCTGCACATCCGAAAGGATCGCAGAAAGAAATGTGCACTGCTGCACCATCTGCCACGATGAGTGATTGCTCAACCACCAAGCAGCGTCCACTCAAATGTTTTTTGGAGCCCATAATCCTTACTTGTCCTTGCAGGTACAAGTTCCCCGTGATGAGTAGGGTGCCATGCAGATTCAAGAACAGCCCGTCCCCGACAATGCTGCAATCGCCGTAATGTGTCAAGACCAGGTTAATGAGCAGGTGCTTCTGTCCTGCTGATTTCTTCCCGCTACAGAGATCGTGAGTGAGAGAATTTTGCGCACGTCTGCTGCTTGCTCTGGGCTTTTCCGCTCTAGGGGGCAGCCTAGTTGCTCTGGGTTGCCGCCTTTCCCTTTCCGCTCTAGGGGGCAGCCTAGGCCTAAGCGGCCCATACCGCGACCTCCTCCGTCGAAAAGAAAAGTCCTCCACATCCGTCTGGCTCACGAAGGCTGGGGGCTCTGCGGCCACGGTCTCTTGATCGGTCTGTTGCACTTCTGCCCGGCCTGGGTGAGATGAGCCAAGGGTCTCATCCAGCTTGGAAGGACTGTCCCTAACCACCTCCCAAGACTCCTCAGGCGCCATCACATCCTCGAAATTGCCTGCCGCATCGAGAACTACTCGACCCAGAGCGGCTTTCCGCGAGTCGGTCGGGAGGCCAAGTCCAAGTATGCTGCAGGGCCCAAAGAGCAATGACAAGCACAAGCCAGCGGCGACACGATGCATTCTTGTACCTATGTGGAAGCTTCCGCACAGTATTTGACACAGAGCTACCACACTCTAGGCTGCCGGCACTGCCAGCCTTTTGGCCAGCTAGGAGCCCAAGGCTTCAGAAGACACACGTACAGACTATCTTGTTCATCTTACAGAAATGCAGGCAAAACGACTCCAAACCGGGTGGCAGTGGACAAGCAGCCAGCCAAGGAGCTTGCAGGAAGGCTGAAGCAGCCAACATATGCCTTGTGACGCACACGCACACGCAAACACACACACACACACACACACACACACACACACACACACACACACACACACACACACACACACACACACACACACACACACACACACACACACACACACACACACACACACACACACACACACACACACCGACACACACACACACACACACACACACACCCACACACACACACACACACACACACACACACACACACACACACACACACACACACACACACACACACACACACACACACACACACACACACACACACACACACACGCAAACATGCAAACACGCACACACAAACGCACACAGAGCGCAGCCTGTCCCGACAAGGTGCAAGTTCCGTCCAGCCCTGGACCATAAAGCGCTCTTTAACTCCTCTAAGCTGGCAGCCTCCTGAATCCACGCCGACAACGTCAGCATGGTTTCAACTCCTGAGGTCATCTCCAGCTCTGGGATTCGGGTTATGGGTCATGGGGAAATTACGTTTGAAGGCGACTTCCTGAGACGGGCTCTCTCTTAAGAAGATACCTTTTTTGACCCTCTGAAGGCTATTCATCTGCTGGGATGGTCTTGGTGACTTGGTGGTGCCCTACGCCATTTTTTTCCCCCACCACTAAGCCAGAAACCAGCAACTACGCTCAGCCTCGCCTCCTGCATCGATCGTGCCAAAGCAAGCATCATCCGGACAGCCACCACCCAGCTTGACAGCGGCGCCGGACAACACAAGTTCCATGCCAAGCAAAATCACAAAAATCAAATGTTCAAAATTGACGACAATTGTGATTTCTGCAAAGCTATGCATGATTTGACGTGAAAACAACGTTTGCAGCCACGAGAATGCATGGATAATGCCTGTTAAAAATCTGTTTTCAGAGTTTGCCTGGAAAACATTTTTTCGTTTTGGCTGATCCTCAAGCGAAACAAATCAAATTTTAAGCGTCGCCGTGCGGTTGCGCAGCCCAGTTTTGAGTTTTTTTTTGGCTTCTTAACTGCTTCCAGGGCCGCCCAGTGCCAGCTGTGCTGCGGGCTGGGCCGCGGGCTGGTTCGACACCATCCACGCGGACTTGCGCGCACAAAATGAACCTTCCCTTGGGCTGCAAAATAAAATCATATGACATGAAAATCCTGCGAAGCTCAAAACGTTCAGATGGCAGTGCTTGCAGCTAGTGAGCAAAACTCAAAACATTCAAATCGGCTGGAAACACAGTCCGTGGAAGCTCAGAATGTTTAGATGGCAGCCGTCAATCCTCTCCTGGAGTGCATCGGCCGGAGTGGGGGGACACTGCAAGCCCTTGTGGCCGTTTGTTGTTTCCGTCATTTCCGTCATTTCCGTCATTTCTGTCATTTTTGACATTTCTGTCATTTCCGTCATTTCCGTCATTTCTGTCATTTTTGACATTTCTGTCATTTCCGTCATTTTCGTCATTCCGTCATTTCCGTCATTTCCGTCATTTCCGTCATTTCCTTCATTTCCGTCATTCCGTCATTTCCGTCATTTCCGTTATTTCCGTCATTTCCGTGATTTCCGTCATTTCCAGGAAAAAAATTTTATGGTGTGTTTGTGTTGCCACGCCCTCTTGACAAACAATTGTAAGTCCAAACAAAGAATGACAAGAAGGACAACAATGACAAAAGTGACAAGGCTCATTCCGGCGCATGCCCGTGCAGACCCTCTTGACAACAGAAATGACAGAAATGACAAAAATAACAAAGCCAGTTCTTTTCTGCGGAAGTTCCGGTGCATGCCCGCGCAGACCCTCTTGACTGTTAAAGATTCCAAAGAATGACAGAATGACAAGAATGACAGAAATGACAAGCTCAATTTTTTGTGGAAATTTTGACATGACCCACAAAGGGTTGGGCTGAGGGCAGTGAAGGGCCCTCTCAGGGCGTCTGGGCCGAGAGCAGAGAGGGCCTCTAAGGGGCCTGACCAGTGAAGGGCCTGTCATGGGGCTGAAGGCAGTGCAGGACCTCTAAGCGTCCCTGGACTGAAGGCAGTGAAGGGCCCTGGACTGCAGTGAAGGGCCTCAAGGGTCCTTGGGAAGTGAGGGCAGTGGGCCGTCATTTCCGTCATTTCCGTCATTTCCGTCATTTCCGTCATTTTTGTCACCCCGATTGGCCCCTCACAACACCTCATTTTTGTCACCCGAGTGTGGCCCGTCATTTCCGTCATTTCCGTCATTTCCGTCATGTCGAACTTGCTCTGGACCAAGGTCGGAAATCCCGAACTTCCAAGGTCGGAAATCCCGAACTTGGAACAAAGTGAAAGAATGACAAAAATGACAAGCCCAAAATAATATTTTGTAAAAAAGTGAATAAACAACCTGAAAAACATAGAGTCGCAGCAATCGGCTCGCTTTTGCGCCGATGACAATAATGACGGAAATGACAGAAATGACGCGGTGCCATTTCCTCGGCCACACAAAAATATCCACTTGAAGGAAAAATAGCGATTGATGTCGGATGAGCGAGAGCCCGCGCAGCCTACGGAGACAACGGGAATGCGCCACCTGCCGAGCCCGAACCAGAGCCTGCTGACGCGACTTTTGAGGCTCCTGCTGCTGATTCACCTGCCGAGCCCGAAGCGACCGTTGCTGTGCCCCCGCAGGTCACGAAGCCCGCCACCAAGCCCGATGCCAAATCAGAAGCCAAGAGGCGTGGGCGGCCACCGGGATCCAAGAACAAGCCCAAGACCCCACAGACCGTGCCCGCCGACCCTGGGCCACCTCGTGAGCCAGAGCCGCAGGGCGGCAGTGGTTGAGCAGCTGAAGCCCAAACCAGAGCCTAAGGCCCAGCCCGTCAGAATGACCCCCGCAGAGGAGGGCGTACGCGGCAGCTCAGTCGGTTGAACCGATTCGAACAGCTGGCGATGGCGAATACCATGAGCGTAGTAAACAAAGTGTTGCGCAAACCATGATGTCTATCGAGAGACGGAACGAGCCCCGGTATCTCCTGCCGAAAGGCTCGGGACATCGCAACGGAAAGGAACACGCAGGACAGCGGAGCAGTTGGCGGCTTGTACTGAAGCACTACGAAGGAACGACGACAATACGGAGTGACTTCGGGATGAACCCTGGACAAGCTTTAAGGAACGTGGTCTAACACCCCCAGACACGTTCGAGCCTTTCGGACAGAATGCTTGGCGGCCTGCAAGGGCCGAAGCAGGTGGCTCGACTTCTGCCTAGCAGCGCTGGCTCGACAAAAACCGTTCGCATTCCCAGAACTCCAGAAGGCCCAGTCCCACCACCAGACGAGACGGCGCTGCTCCAAATCGTTGGCAGACCCAGTGGAGTCTGCTGCAGCGGGCAGGTCAAAGGGCTGCAGAAATCGAACGCCAGTGCGCGCAGGACATTGAAGCCTTCACGCAAGAGCCGAGTGGAAGCCGAGGGCTTCGCCAGTGCTGCTGAAGCAGCTGCTTCGGACGCCTTCTCGCTGGACTGATTTTTTTCTGTGGGAAAATTCCGGCGCATGCTGCAGATCACGCTCTCTTGACAATCAAATATGATTCCAAACAGAATGACAGAATGACAAGAATGACAGACATGACAGAACGATTTTGTGGGAAAATTCCGGCGCGTGCCTTTGCAGACCACACCCTCTTGACAATCAAATGTGATTCCAAACAAAATGACAAAATGACAAGAATGATAGACATGACAGAAATGACGAAAATGACAAAGCTATTTTTTTCTGTGGGAAAATCCGGCGCATGCCCTTGCACAAGCGGCACGGCTGGCACAGCGGCACGGCTGGCGGCAGCGGCACAGCTTTTGGCCAAGAGAAGAATGCGCCGCAATGCCTCAAGAAATTTTTGATGCGCCAATTTTGTCAATTTTGTCAACTGTTATCTTTTGGAAGACTCACAGCCAGGCGATGTGACAGATTGACAGAATTGACAGATTTGACAGATCTTGCGGAGTTGACGGACGGCAAAACTTGCAAAAACTGAAGGCATGTCATTTGCGGGATCCGCAGAAATGCCACAACCCTGGTAGACTCTGCTCCTGACAGCCTGGCGAACCCCAAAAACTTGGAAGTGACGAAAATGACGGAAATAACGGGAGTGACAGGGCCAACCGGGGTGACGGAAATTACGGAAAATGACGGTTCTGACGGAAATGACAAGAACTGACAAACTCGCGCCAGAGGATCTTGCCGAGCCAAGTCGCGCCCGAGCCAAGTCGCGCCGAGTCCGCGCCAAGTCCTTGGAGGCCTTCAGAGCATCAAGTGTGCATTTTGTAACTGTGTCAAATTTTGCACTTTAGAAGACCTACAGCCTTTGTGAGGCGCAAAACACTTGACAGTTGCGTCAAACCTTCAAAATTTTGAGGCCTCTTGGGTCCCCGGGCATCAAGGATTTCTAAGAGGTCTCTGGCAGTGACGGCTGGCTGAGGGCCTTTAAGGATGTCTTAAGGGTCGAAGGCCGGAAAAAGGGCCTAGGCATTGAAGGGCCTCTAGGCTGAGGAGTGCGGGGCCTCTAAGGTCCCTGGGCATGAAGGATTTCTAAGAGGTCTCTGGGCAGTGACGGGCCGTTAAAGGCTAAGGGCAGTGAAGGGCCTTTGAGGGCTGAGACCTGCTAAGGGGCTGTTGTGCAGCAGAGCATGCGTGGATTTTGTTTTTCTGAGAAATGTCGTCATTTCTATCATTTTAGAGGCGGTGTCCAATGCAAGCTCTCAGTGACAGAAATGACGGAAATGACGGAAATAACAAAATGACAACTTCAATTTATTTTTTAAAAAATATCGCGCAT